TCCTCACAGCCGCGTTGAGCTGCCGCCTCTTGCTGGCTCCCTGGGTAACCGGTGTCCGATGCTGTGCAGTGTCCAGGGGAACCCCCGCCTGTGCCGGTGCCCGCGTTGTCCCGGTGTCTCTCACCTGCCTTGACCTGGCTCCAGGTCTCTCTTCCCCAGCCCGTGCCATTCCCGAGAGAACCCGGGATTTGAGGTCTGGTGGGACAGCGGAGGAAGCGTCACTGAGGGGAGACGGGCACACCCGGGGTGTTTTCTGAGCCTTCCTGCCCATTTGAATTATCAAACTACTTCTTGCGTTGGAGTTACAGCTTATCCAAGCTTATGCTTGACTGAAGTTCATTTGTTGAAATGCTGGATGAAAATAATAAGATTTATGTGATCAGAGTGGGAAGTTGCACTTGTTGAGGATTTTTAATAGATTAAGCCAGATACATTTTGTGGTAGCTTTTCTATTTGTTTAAAGTAGAAACTTTTTTTTAACTAGGTATGGATGGCAGAGCAGAAAATATCATATGATAAGAAGAAACAAGAAGAATTGATGCAACAGTATCTGAAAGAACAGGAATCCTATGATAACAGGTGAGAATTGGCATAAGATCACACACTTCTTCCTACTGTGTCTTGCTTTCATGGTAGTGAAGAAAATACCCCTGTGAGTTACTTGAAATTCTGTCTCCTGTTGATTGTAGGAGGAGGAGAGGGCAGTGATTTAGAAATTGGTGTCTGAGTAAGGAGAAGTCACAAGAACTTCTTTCAAGTGACACGTGTGTGTCTTTGTGATTCATTTCAAAATACGTTATGTTGCACAGAGCACAAGTAATCTGGTTCAACAGTATATTTGGGTGGCACAGAAACATGTCTCATAACTCTTGGGCGTGGAGTTACGTTTCTGTTGTGATTGAAGTGTGTGATTGTTGGTACACAGTGGAGCACATGAAAGTACTGGCTAGTCTCCCAAGTGGTTTAATACCAACTTTTGTTATTCAAATTAACAAATTAAAAGTTGACAGTTGTTATAGCAATTTCCTGTTACAGTTGGTTTTTTTATATAAGTAACACCGCTCTGACTGTTTTGTGTGTAACACCCCAAACTCTGTCTTTTTTTATTTAGGTTGCTTATGGGAGATGAGCGTGTGAAGAATGGTCTTAATTTCATGTACGAGGCCCCACCTGGGGCAAAGAAAGGTACTGCAGTTCCCTGGTTGTGGGCAGACAGTGCTGCACAGCTAGAAACCTTCTGAAGAAATAATCACAGCGCCTTTTTTTTTAAAATAACTTGTTCATAGTGAGGTAACGCTAAAGGTGTGATTTGTAGTTCTTCCTGTGGGAATACGCAGACGTACATAGTATGTAACAATTTTGGTCCCACAATACTTTCAGAATGGGAGTGGTTGGAGTTTTCTAAGCAACAGTGCAGTGTAAAGGGAAAAGCAGATAAAATCTCTTTCCTGGCAGCAGCAGAAGTGACTGCAGCAGCTTCACAAACTGAAGTTACCAAGTCCCCGGTGAACACTCGTGTCAGTCACTTAACTTTAGCAAAATCTGAATGTAAGTGTAGAACTAAGAAAATGTATTCTGTTTAAAAGAAACATGTTCCCTTTAAAGTGCATCTTTTCCATTTGCACAAAAACCCTTGGAAATGCTTGGATAGGCTCATAGGGCAAATTTTGCAATCACTTCAAGAGCTCTAAAATTAATTCCTTAAGCTTAGAGCAAATGCAATTTTAAAGTAATGTTTTTTGCTTAAATTATTTTTTATATTTTAAAATTAAGTGTTGTTGCTACTTTTAAAAAAAAAAAAAAGGTTTTTTGTGTTTACAAATCATATCAATGTAGTTTTAAAAGATTATCCTGGTTACACAGGATTTGTAACTGCATACAATAGGCTGATTATTCATAAGTGTGCTCTATTTAAGTAAAGTTACTTTCTGAGTGTTTGTGCTGCTCTATTAGTATAAACGATCAAATGTTTTGTCTCCAGCTTAGACACCAACTGGATTTTACATGTAAAATTAATGTATAATTTCTTTTCTTTCCGTGATTTCTGAAAATTCAGAGGAAACTAAAGAGGTATGTAATTATATCATTTATTTGTTTTCTTTTACTTACTTAAAATATATTTTTAAAAATGTGAAGCTTACCATGTTTTCTGTTTCATAGCAAGAAGGAGAGACTGAATACAAATTTGAATGGCAAAAAGTTGCCCCTCGAGAAAAGTAAGATGTCTGGATTTTATCCAAATAATTTTTTTTCTTCTTACTTACCTTTCATATCCTCTTCTCTTCTCTTCTCTTCTCTTCTCTTCTCTTCTCTTCTCTTCTCTTCTCTTCTCTTCTCTTCTCTTCTCTTCTCTTCTCTTCTCTTCTCTTCCTCCTTCCTGTTTTATTTTTGAGCAGGTCACTTATGTAATCCTGTCATGTGTTGTTAGTTGATTATAAAACCTGTAAGCCTAGAACTAACTCCTTGATCAGTTTAGTTTTTGTTTGAATTTACTTCCTTACTTGAAAACACATTAAAACTAATGTTTACTGGAAGTTTATCTCTGAAATGGATGCATACTTTACAATAAAAAGTATTTTTTTATATGATGTGTTTTTAAAAAAATAGTGAATTGAGTATTTGTTTTCTTTTGTGTTTGTGTAACAGATATGCTAAGGATGATGTGAACATCAGAGATCAGCCATTTGGTATCCAGGCAAGTTACATAAATTTCACTCTGTGGATGTCTTGGGTATATTTCAAATATTATCTCACTGCAGAACGTTCGCATGGACTCTCTTAATTTTATCATCCGTTTCTCAGTGAGTTTAAAAGCTTCTCTTATGCCTAATAACATAGACATTTCTGTAAATGTTAAGCTACATTGTTAACTAAAAATCATGTATTTTTAAAATTATTTTTCATTTTAGGTGCGAAATGTGAGATGTATTAAATGCCACAAGTGGGGTCATGTCAACACAGATCGAGAATGTCCCTTGTTTGGCCTTTCTGGAATTAACGCAAGTTCAGTCCCCAGCGATGGTTCAGGTAGGCAGGGGATGCCCTTGGAGAAGTTGCTGGTTAGAAATTTTGGGGGAGCTCATCATCTTTAATTTCCAAAGATTTGAGTTTATCATATTTCAAAGAGCTGCTGAAATATGGAAAAGCTTATTTATTCCACATGTAGGAGCCATAATTTCAAGTTTATTATTTAAAATGTTAGGGACCTAATTTGTTTATTAGTAACACATTTTAAAAAGATTCCATAATGACTGTGGATTTGATTCTATCTGTGACAAAAATTCAGAAGCTGCAGTGAGATTGTTTATATCTGAATGGTGATACTTGTATCACACAAAAAAAACCCAACGTGTAATGGATTGTCAAACACTGTCTCAGTTCAGATTCAGCTACACTGCTTGGAAAAGCTGGAAAGTATCAGTATATCTTGGTTAATCACTTGGAGAAAAGGAGAGATTTGGTTTTTTTAATGTATGTACTTGTGCTTCTAGAAGTGGACAAGCAACTGAAACCTAGATTTGCAAATGTCTGATTTCTTTTCAGCTGGCTTGTTTCTTCATGAATTACAATTTTTTCCTCTATTAGCTTTCCTGCTACTCAAAGTCACACAACATTTAGTGTTAGATGAGATTTAAAGAAGTTAATATAAACATTCAAACTGAATAATTTTTTGTTTTTTCCTACAATACTTCATTTTTTATAAGTTGACCCAAGTTTGTAGCACTTAAGATTCTTAAGACTGTGGCATGTTAAGGAAACCCCGGGTAACTTGGGTGAGTCTTCAGACTTGCTGTACTGCACTTCAAGATCAGGTGCCGTGCTGTGTGTTCAGTTTTGCTGGGATACCATTACCATTGCACACTTGATAACATCTGATTTTCCTTTGTCTTCTCTCAGGTTGTCTATTTTGTGTAGTAGTTCTTAGTTTTATTACATATTTAGCTTACCAACAATCTTGCTTTTCAGAATTAGATCACTTAGATATGTTGTTTCTTTGAGATGAGGCCTGGAAGACTTAAGGTAAAGGAAATATTGCCTCTTACACTCCCCTGCTTTTAGGCACTGTCTGATGATTATACCATTGTATTATGCATTCTGTAGTTGACATTCTCAGCCTATCTATTCAGTAAGTTATAACATTACATAATTGTCTTGCCTCATTCTTACCTGAGAAGTTGTGTTTGGAATGTTTGGTGATGGTAGAATTATATTGTGCAGCTCTTGCATGTCAGATACGCTTTTGTGCAGTAGAACTCACTTCCCCCCTCCCCATTCAAAAGATGTGGGAAAACTGTAGTGTTTGTCTGGGAAAGAGGAAGGTGTTTGTACATGTTTGTACAAACTTGAAAATTTGACTCCTCATTATTCATAACAATGTAATGTGAATGTTTGTCATGTCAGTATAAGACTAGCTGCTGGTTTCAAACCTAACTGAACTGCCTCAGTGTAGGCATCATTGGACTCCTGTGGGTGTTTGCTAGTCAGAGAGATGTTATTCAGCTTGCTTTCCAAACCATCTTTGTAAGCCTTAAAGGGAAGGAATTGGCACACATGATGAATTTTGCATGAGGGGGAAAGTGCTGTAAAATTACCTAGATGTTCTCAGACTGTGCCAATGCCTTCTCATCTTCAACTCTGGAACTTAGAAAACAGTGTGCTGTGCTGACCATTGACTTTTTTTATAGGCTGAGGAAGGATTTCAGGGAGTAGGGGTGGGTGACAGATCCGCGTTTGTATATACAGTTTGTAAGACACTGTTCTTGGATTTTAATAGTCAGCTGTAATGATACTGCTACTTCCTTTTTCTTTCAGGATAATGATATGTAAAAACATTGTAGGTAAGGTTTAAAACATTTTTAAGCTCTTTATTTAGTGGCAGATGTAAGGCTTATAGGAAGTGGTAATGGCATTAATTAGATCATCAGATAAAAGGTGTAAAAATATGTTTGCAGCTATCTCAAGAAAGAGCTGGAAAATGTTGGGCTAAATTATTAGAACATATAATGCCTTTAAAGGTCAGGAAGTAATTCCATATGTATAAAGTCAGCTTTGAAGTCTTGTTACAGAATCACAGAATCTTAGGGGTTGGAAGGGACCTCGAAAGATCATCTAGTCCAACCCCCCTGCCAGAGCAGGATCACCCAGAGCACATCACACAGGAACGTGTCCAGGCAGGTTTTGAATGTCTCCAGCAAAGGAGAACCTTTCTGGGCCCACCTTCCTCCTCCTTTCACAGCCTTTTACTGCTGAGCACAATGCATAGAATATCCCTTTGGTCAGTTGGGGTCAGCTGTCCCAGCTGTGTCCCCTCCCAACTCTTTGCACACCCCCAGCTTATTTGCTGTTGGGGTGAGGAGCAGCAAAGGCTGGGATGCTGTGCAAGTGCTGCTCAGCAAGAACTAAAACATTTCTGTATTGTCAACACTGTTCTGGTCACAAACCCAGAACATAGCCCCATACGAGCTACTGTTGAAGAAAAGTCACTCTACCCCAGCCAAAACCAGTAGAGACACTGGTAGCCACAGTATTGCTGGCAAATGTTAGTGCACATGTAAAGGATTGACACTTACCTAGTTCCAGGGACATTCTCATCTTTCTCGTTGGTCAGAAGTAACACAGATAATGGGGGTAAAAAAGTTTTTATTAGGATAATGACGTTGTTGAATTAAGAGCAGCCCTTCCCCATGTTTTCCTTTCTTCCTTTAAAAACTGGACCTTCAAATGCCTTAGTTGAATAGTAACTTGAATTTAGTAAAAGTCCAGGGGATAAGGTGTTTTGTGGTTTTGTAAGTCACACATTGGTTGTGGACTCCTTTTTTGAATGAAAAGAAGATTAAGTAACACAGAATCTAAATTCAAGAGAACTTGATACAAGTGCAGTTTGTGTTTTGTTCTAATTTTTTCCTGCTTCAGAGAGAGGGAGAAATAAAGTCTTACTTTGACTCAGACTGTTTTTTCAGCCTCAGAGGAAGTGTTTGAGTTCAGTGAATGAAAATGAAACTCCTGTGTTTGATTTAGTTGCTTTATCTAAAATTCCTGCTCTGTTTCTCTGTGAGGAAAGAGTTAGTGATTGCCTATGTACATTTTTTTTTCACATCGTAAAATAACCACCAGTATAGGCTTTTTCTTTCCCATAAATTCTATAAGCTGTAATTCTCTTTATTTCAGCAGAAAGGTACTGCATCATACTCTTCCTCTTTGCCCATAAATTAATGGGCAACTGTTGTTTTGGAATTGGTGTTGAATATTTTGTGTGCAAAGACCAGTCACAGATTTCAGTTCACTCCAGTGGAACCGCTGCAGGGCAAGAACATGTCTTGTTCTGTGAGAAAAGGCTGCTGCTGTCTTTCAAGATCTGACATACACTGTAGCACTCCAGCAAACAAAAATTAGTACAATTGGCACCTTAACTTAGGTATGATGGCTTGGTTATTTTGCTTCTGGGACCATTTTACTAATCTAGCTGGTAATGCATAGAAAAAAAAATAATCTTACCATTAAAAAAGCTCCTATAATATCTCACCAGTGAATAGAGATTATTTTTGCAATAAGGCAATTTCAGTGGATGTGGTTATCATGGGATAATCACACCCCTGGGGTATAGCCTTGTCTGTAATCTCCCAGGAGTGTAATTATTTCATGATAACTGCACCCCCTGGTGTTGCATTATTTCCATTATGAAATTCTTAGTTTTAGATATAAAGTAACTTACTTTGATCACTGTAGACTGTGAAGTAGTGATAGACTGTTCCAGCTGTGAGGCCTACAGAGACCAACTTATAAGATTTACTTCTCCTTTACGAAGCTAAATTAGGCAATCAAAATGCTTCTTCGGGCTAAACTGATTTACAGGGCTTTTTACTGATAAAATACTAATTTTCCAAGTTTAGGCAAAATGAAATTTCTTGTGGTTTGAACTTTATGTGCCACTGGGTGCATATGCCTGGCTAAAAATGTAATATTTACCAGCAAAAAATACCCAGGTCACTAGGACAAACTAAATATCTCTTTTTTTCTTGTTCTTTAGGGGTTTTTTTCCTTTTTTTCCTCTTTTTTTTTTCTGCAAGCACTCCATCTTGTTAAGCAAGGACTGGGAAGGGGGGGGTGCTAAAAAGCTATGCAAGCTTAAACGCTTAAAACTTCTATTGTAATTTTTGAACAAAAATCTGCTACGAATCTATTACTATCTTATGAAAAAAATATATATTCCTATCTTGAGAAATAAGGCTGGTTTCTCAAACGGGGAGGTAATTTTAGGAATAGTGTAGTTGGAAGACTTCAGATGCTGTGATTAAAAATGGTTCTTATGCTTCTGGCCTATGAAGCCTAAGGCTGGAGAGTGCTGGGCACCCTTCTCTGCTGTGGACTGCTTTGGTTGTTTTGCATCTGACTGGCTCCCTGTTGATTCGTCCAGTGAAATCACTTAGAAGAAAGAGGGTACTGTGAAGTGATTAGCATGTTGTGGAAAATTCAGGCAAATAATGGTTAAAATGTGACGAAGCAACATGTGTACGGGTGTGTGTGTGTTGTGTGTAGCCTTATGATCTACGAAGATAAAAAAAAACCAGGTATGTCTGTGCAGTGCAGCCTTCTGAAGACTCATTATCAGCTCCTCGAGTTTGTGCCCTCTCCTTTTATTGCCTGAGTGCCCTCACACTAATTGCGGTTGTGGTTTCCTCAGTCTGTCACTCAGTGTGTTCAACTCATCTTTAGCTTTTGGGTGAAATTCCTTTCCATAGTAACCATTGACATTATCAGTCACATGGAGGCAGTAAAAAAGGGAATCAATGTCTAGGTTATGTGTGTATCTCTGCATTTTTTCAGTAACAAATATGGTACCATTTTGTTTCCCAACAGATAAACATCAGTGTTGTATCAGAAATGCAGGAATTGATTTAAGTGCTGTTTTGAGTCTATAATAACAAGAAAAAGTGATTTGAACACGTGCACTGTAAATATTTGTATAAATGGTCATCTCTAGAAACACATACAGTGCATGAAACCTTTGATTATGAACAGTAGGAACC